AGCTCAGGATTCTGTTCTTTGCTGGGGCTGGCGATGGGTAGCTTTACTTCAGAAATGAATGGGGTTGGGGGGTGGCTTCTTTGTGTCTTGAGTTCACTGGGGTCCATTCTTGAGCTTCCTCATGCTGCTGTTTCCCAAGAAGGGTGAGCTATTGCCTCTATGGTGCCATTAGCTGCCCTGAATCAGCTCCAAATCCTGATGGCTCAGTGGTAGAATTCTCGACTTCTGGGCAGGAGACCAAGGTTCAATTCCCGGCCAACGCACTACATATCTATGGCTCTTTATACTAACCAGGAACTGAGGTTAATGTTGGCCCTGGAGGGACTGTCCTGGGCAGTGGGCCTCCCTTTCTGCAGCCAGCTTCTCAGAGTCCCTCAACGCTGCATTACAAAGCAGAATTCTCCAGAACTGCAACTACAAATCCTCTCCTCCCCCTCCCCCCCCACCCCACTCTTCAGCCTCTCCAGAGGAAAAGTACACAAGGTTGAGGTTGTCCCTTAGGCCACCAAGAAATGCTTAATTGCTTTCTGAGAGAATTGTCGCCTCCTCTGGCTTCCTCCCCCTCTCCACTTCTCCCCCAATCTGGAGGCTCTCACATGGCGCTGAGTGTCCCCTGGCTGTTGCCCAAAGTTACCAGGACCCAGGTGCCGAATAGCTTCTCGCACCTCCAAATAGACTGCTGCACCACTTTTGCTGAAAAAAGGAACCCTATGTTTGGGGGGAATAAATGTGCATTCTGCTGTGAGCCAGGCACTCATTGGCAGCAGATGGATGGTGGCCCAGGCCAGCTGAGTCAGCCAGACTTCAGAGCAAGCAGACAGTGTGAACCAAGACCGGGGTGGGAGCCAGCCACAGAAAGTGAAATACAAGGATATTTGGAGGCTTCCATCCCAGAAGTTTAGTCAGCACCTTGTACAACTTGAGTTGGATTGAGACACGAGTGCAAGATGTGTCTTGAATGAATCAACTGCCACTAACCAAGTGCAAGAGTAAGTAGATTGGTGCAGATGTCTAAGGTGCTCTCCTGCTAACCTAAAGGTTGGTAGTTCAAGACCACCCAGAGGTATCTAGGAAGAAAGGATTGACAACATACCTCTGAAAAAGCATCTATTGAAAACCTGTGGAGCACAGCTCTGATCTGATACACATGGGGCCACTATGGGTCATAATCCACTCAATGGCCCTTGGTTCATTCTTTTTGGTTTTTAAAGAGCCATGACAAATGGAGCTTCTACACAAATGTAGAAAGGGAAAACTCCAGAATAGGTCAATGTATCCAGTCTCAAGTCTTTTCAAAGTTGCCAAAGGTGTGGGGTGGGGGAGGTGGAGTCACTGCCTGGGGCCACTGAGCTTCCAGGAAAGACAGTGGGAAGCTTTGGGAACAGACAGCAGTGATGGTCACACAGCATGATGGGACAGGTGTCATTCATGCTGCTGAAATGGACATAGAAAGAAATGGTTCATTACATACAGGTTTGTTGCTGTCAAGTTGATTTGTACTCACAGAGCCTTATGTAGAACGGCCCCATGGGGTTTCCAAGGCTATAATCTTTACAGAAGCAGACAGCCATATCTTCCTCCCACGCAGCAGTTGGTGGGCTCAAACTGACTTTTTGGTTATCGTGGTGTGGCACTCTAGGGTTAGCACTGGTCTGCTAACCTCAAGGTTGATGGTTCAAACCCACCAGTTGCTCCTTGGAGACCCTATACAGACTTACTGTGAGTTGGAACCAACTCGATGGCTCTTAACAACAACAGGTGAGCATCTAACCGCCACACCACCAGGGATCCTTGCTATATATGTGTATTTACCATTATTTTAAAAAATTGAGAGAGAAAGGTTCAAAGATCTTAGAAACGGATTTCTTTTTCATATAGCAGACCAAGACAGATGTTTCAGAAGATCACTAGCTTTTCTCCACATGATGACTCAGGGCCCCAGACTCTCCCATCTCCGGGTCGGTCATTCCCTGGGGTCCCCGTGTCATCTGCACCCAGCTGGCAGAATAAGGAGAGGGCACACCCACTGCCTACTGTCTTAGCTCAGAAATGGCACCCATCTCTTTTGCTCACATCCCATTGGTGAGAACTAGTCACATGCCCATGCCGATCTGCAAGGGCTGCTGGGAAATGTAATCTTTGTTCCTTAGTAACAACACTATACCATGAAAAGGCATTTTGAGAGGGGTTAGGCCAAACTTCGTCTCTCATACTTTGGACATATTGTCAGAAGGGAGCAGTCGCTGGAGAAGGATATCATGTTTAGTAAGGTGGAGAGTCAGAGAAAAGGAAGGAAGAACCCCAATGAGATGGATCGGCCAAGTGGCAGCATCGATGAACTCAAGCATGGGTTGGTCCAGGATCGGGCAGTGTTTTGGTCTGTTTGCATAAGGTCACTATGGGTCAGTACCACTCGATAGCACCTAACAACAAACAACAACAAGGTCTAATTTATTCAGGTTTCTTGTAAGTCGGCTTCTCTGCTAACTTTTCCTTTTATTTCTGTCCAGTTCTGATGCTGCCTGGATCTTCCAATCCTTGGTCAAAGCAAGATTCTTTCTAGCAACTTATCTAGCCATGGTTTAAGGCCCAGAATGGTCTTCCAGACAGTCCCTTAAAAATAGGAATGAGTAGTTCTCTCTTTCTCTTTGTCTCTGCCCCATGACCCTAATGCCTGAATTGCATCCTGTGGACAAAGTCAGAATACTGCCATTTGCTTCTTGCCTGAAGCCAACAGACATGCCCTGGAAACTTCTTGTTCAGGCACCTGTGTTAATTCTCCGTTTGTGTGTGACAAGTTACGACAAGCATAGTGGCTTAAAACAGCACTATTAGCTCACAGTCCTGTGGGTCAAAATCTGGGATGGGCTTGACTGGAGGCCCCTGAAGGCCAGAATCAAGGGGTTGGCTAGGCTGAGCTCTTATCTGGAGGCACTGAGGCCGAATTCACTCACAGGTTCATGCAAGTTGTTGGCAGAATCCAGTTACTTGTGATTGCAGGACTGTGTTCTTTGTTTTCTTGTAACTGTTGGTCACGGTTTCTCTCAGCTTCCAGAGCCTCTCTCATGTCATTGCCACATTGTTGTTGTTGTGTGCCATCGTGTCAATTCCAACTCATAGCAACCCTATACAGGGTTTCTGAGGCTGTAAATCTTTACAGGAGCAGAAAGCCTCATCTTTCTCCCACGGAACAGCTGGTAGTTTCGAACTGCTGACCCTGAGGTTAGCAGCCCGATTCATACCCACTACACTACCAGAGCTCCTTTAGCATTATTAGACAAGCCTACAAGGTGTGGGCCCTGATGTGACACTTTCGGATAAGCACTGGGCTGGTAACTGCAAGGTCAGCAATTCAAAGCTGCTCTCAGAAACCCTATGCAGCATCAGAATGATTCAATGGCACACAACAACAATGACAACAATAAGGAAGTAGGTACTTCTTAGAACAATCAACCATAGAGATCAGAAGGGCAGCATTTGCAGAGGGTGGGGAGGCGGGTGGTGGGGGAAGCCCAGGTAGGAAATGGGAAGAGCACCGTTCCAAAGTGTGCATGCGTTGTAGAATGGAAAACCAATTTGCTTTGTAAACTTTCACCCAAAACACAGTTAAATGTTTAAACAGAAGAAGAAACAAGGATGAGGAGGGAAGGTAGAGAGGCCATAAGAGGTGTGTGTAGGGGGGAGGGGCAGTAAGCAGGATCTTCCACCCCGTGCTCCCCTTCCCTCCCCTTCCATGTCAGACCATATACAGAGGGGACTCACCAGGAGCCATCTACAGCTTGGGTACCATCTGGGTGGTCAGGAGGTGGGTCAAAGAATGCCAGGGGAGCTGCCAAGTCCTGACATCACTGTGTCCAGACCTGCCCTTCCCTGGGAGGGGGTGTGGAGGCAGGGGCGATCAGGAGGGTGGGGGCACTGGAAAACTCTGGGGCTTTCTTTGGGGCATGAGACTTGTGTGTGAGTGTGGGGGTGCTGGGAAGCTTTGATTGGTTTCCTTCCATGGATGGTGGTGGGTCTAGACTCTCTGCTGTGGTTTAGGTAACAAAGGTACCTCAATTGTTCAGGAAATCCTCAAGATTTAGAGTGATCCCTCAGGAAACAGGGCCAAAGACTTTGGGCAAAGTTAAATTCTAAAGCCCACAATGGGGTTCTGGCATGGTGCTTAGGATTAACACTGGACTCTAACTGCAAAGTCAGTGGTTAACATTAACATTATTAAATGTTAAGCCATGGAGGTGAGTTCACTTCCAGGCTTGAATAGTATCTTCAAGGCCATAGTCTCAGGATTTCCACAAGCCTCTATCAGACCAGTAAGCCTGGACTTCTTCTTATTTTGAGTTTGTTTCACATTTTTCTCCCACTCTGTCCAGGACCTTCTAGTATGATCTCTTCAGGCTGTCAGCAGTGATAGCTGGGCATTCCTGGTCTAGTAGTTCTGGTCTAGGGCCATGGAGGCTGGGGTTCAAGTGGTCCGTTGGTCCTACAGACATACTGTTTCCTGTGTCTTTCACTTCTTCACTCTTCCTTGTTTCCGATGGGGAGACACCGATACTTACACCTTGAATGCCATCCCTGCGTCTGTCACCATTGCGCGTCTGTTATCTGTCTGTTGACTCTGGCTTCCTCTGGGGAAGATGAGCATGTAGGGCTGACTTCTGAGGATCTCCCCTAAGTGCATGGCTAGCTTCAGCTCTTACCATGATATTTAGGTGGTCTCCTTAATGTCTCTCTAGCTCTTCTCTTTGCTCTTGAAGCCAGACCAGGTGGGGCACCTCCTCTCCCCCATCTGGGGCCTTTTCCTTTGCAGCTACACAAGAACGCAGCCACCCGCAGTAGACCCTGTAATGAAAACTCAGTGTAGCCTTTGCCAAAGCTTTTTTCTTTTTTTTTTTTTTAAAGAAACAAAAACCAGTTCAATTTTATTGGGGTCACAATGATGGTGTTGGACTGGCCACAGGGTCCCCCTACTTCTGGGCCTTGGCGTTGCCCTGTATGATGACGTAGCGCATGTCCTTGTAGTTTTTGTTGGCACCCACGGGGATGAACCTGCATGTTCTAGATCTCCTCCCTGGAGAAGCGGCCACGCTGTCTGTCAACCAGCTCCTCCAGGACCGGTTGCTGGATGGCACCCTTCCCCTCAGAGTCTCAGGGTTTTGAAAGCTCCAGTGATGATGTTTTTAGGGTGGTCATCTTTGAGCTTCCCCCTGAACATGGTCAGAAAAATGGTGGCATAGATAAGTCCCTGTTGGCACCTTCATCTTGGTCTCCAGCACCAGAGAAGGGAGCAGCTACTGGACCAGGAGCACACTTCCTATAACGTCTTTGCCAAGTCTGATTTGGCAGCAAGCAACTGTCATAGGAAGCTCCTTGGGTGGTACAAATGATGAACACATTTGACTGCTAATCTACTCCTAGGTGCCTCAGAGGAACTACCTGGCAGTCTATTTCTGGGAAAAGTCTGCCATTGAAAACCCTATGGAGTCCAGCTCTATCTGACACAATGGGGTCACCATGAGTTGGAGCTGACTTGACCATACCTGGTTTGGGTTTGCTCACTCAGAGGGGAGGCCCGTTTCCTTGTGCATCTTCTCCTCCACATCCCCCTGTTCCCTCTTCACCTCTGGGTTTCCATTCTCTTCCCCTCTTCAAATCTCTGTGTTTGCGCTTTCTCCTTGTCCTCCCACCTGGTCTGCATTGCGCTTCTTTTTTTTCTTAGCTCTTCAGAGACCAAACTTTCTGCTGGATTCTTCTCTGAAGGAAAGAAACCAGAGAGAAGACTGCAGGAAGAGGAAGAAGAAGAGTCCAGAAATGTCTGAGCCTCCATGCAGGCTTCCTGCCCACACCCTGTCTTCCCAGCAGCACCAAGAAATCAGGTACGGACAAAGCTCATCACCTCCTTCCTGGGCTCAGACTCCCTCCCAGTGCACGGTGCCGGTTACTGTTGAGTCCGTTTGGATTCTTGGCAAACTTACATACAAGAGAACGGATCATTGCCCAGCCCTGCTTCATCTTCACAATTGTTGCTATGTCCATGCATTGTTAAGGAGCTCTGGTAGCATAGTGGTTACGAATCAGGCTGCGAACCTTAAGGTCAGCAGTTCGAAACAACCAACTGTTCCATGGGAGAAAGATGAGGCTTTCTGCTCCCATAAAGATTTACAGCCTCAGAAACCCTATATAGGGTCGCTCTGAGTCAGAAGAGACTCCACAGCATAAGCAAGCACCATGCATTGTTGGGGCCAGTGTGTATTTTGAGAGCCTTCCAGCCTAGAGGGGGTCTCATCTTCCAGTACGGTACCTGGCAATATTCTGCCCTAATGCAAAGGCTTTTCGTTGACTAATTTTCAGCAGATCACCAGGTCTTTCTTCCTAGTGTGTCTTAGTCTGGAAGCTCCACCGAAACCTGTCCACCACAGGTGACCCTGCTGGTATTTGAAATACCAGTAGCGTAGCTTCCGGCATCACAGCTACACACAATCCACCACAGTCCTGACAGACAGTTGGTGGCCCTGGAGTGTACAATGGATGGCATGTAGGGATGGGATGGGATGGTCCCACCTCTGGAATTCAATAAGTCTTCCTCAAGTTGTGACCACAGCAGGCTGAGGCTACACCCCTCCCGTGTGGTCCTAGAGGTATTCTGTAGCAGGAAGCGGAGTCATGATTTGGAGAAAGCAACAACCACACCTGTTGTTCACTAGAAATCTTTTTTTGTGGCAGCTGTGGTCCTAAGGTGGAGTGAGAAACTGAGGCTGGCTTGGGCAAAGCCATGACATAACAGAATCAGCCCGAATACGGCCTCACATCCAGACATGATTCTTTCCACAGGACTAAGGAGCTGTGGCCATCCACCTGACCAAGTAACCCCAAGGTCTGAAAGGCAATGGGTAGGGTTAGATTACCTGCCTCACTTTGGAGCTCGGGACACTGGAGCTTGGGGAGGGGTGGAGGCTTAGTGAGGGGGTGGCCAGCACAGAACACTGCACAGCCCAAGAGGACATCACAGTCGGTGCAAATGGTCAACCTAGTTGACTGCTTACTGAAAGGATGGAGTGAGGTTCAAATCCACCCAGAGGTACCTCAGAAGAAAGGCCTGGTAATCGACTTCTGAACAACCAGCCGTTGAAAACCCTGTGGAGCACAGTTCTACTGAGATACACAGGGAGGTGAGCTGGTACTGGTACTGGTATTGGTAGGGACTGGAAACCCAGGTCACTGATCCCCCGGCTAGTGCAGTATCCTGCAGTGAGGTTCTCCTGACCCTGCCAGGTCACTTGCTCCCCACTACCTGACCAAGCCGCCACCATTCCCCAGTTGCATGGGCCTCAGTGTTGTCTGCTGGGACCTGTCTCCCCATTAGTTATAGGGTGATTTCTGACATCCTGGGGCCTTGTCAGGCCTCCTTCATCAGCTCACCTCTCCATCATCATCTTCATCTTCCATTACCTACAGTTCTCTCTCCCACCCACCAAACTCAGCTAGTGGCCAAGGAAGGCTGTCCTGGGGTACAACCAGCTCTGCCCCCACCCCTCCACAGAACGAGTCCCTCAAGGCCAAGCTGGTCCAGGCCCACAAGTCTCAGTGTGTGATTTCAAGTTCCAAACCAAGCCAAGGGGTGCGAGATTCTTGCAGGATGTCAGAGAGGGGGGCACGTGGCTCTGTTTCCATCAAACTGCAAAGCAGTTTATACACATTTGCTGCCTCGATTTTACAGTTCTCATTGTTTGTTGGACTGTGGGGAAGGGCTTTGGGTTTGGGTTCATGACACAGAAAGTTCTAGAAGAGTGGTGACCCATGGTCCGGGGAATCAAAGCAGACTAAACCCTGAATCCCCTGTATGGCTCAGTGGTAGCTGATCCCTAGGCCTTTTCCCAAAGGGTCTGCAGCTTCGTCTAAGCAAGTCTGCCGCTGTCTCTTTCTGCTGGCCGGGGAGCCCCTACTGGGAGGTGCTAGCACCCTGAGAGTACTGGGTCAGGAACCTAGTTCTCAGACAAGTGGGAGGTTTTTTTTGGATCTGGCTGAGCTATTCCATTCATCTTGAGAAGAAGGAAGGGTATGTAGAGAGGATCAGTAACAGAGCCAAGGCCTTTGTCCTGCCCCTTGGGGACAGTGTGGGGGGCTGAGAAGCCAGTTTACAGAAATTACCCACGAGTCCAGGGTGGGTGCAGATGCCCCTGTTAAAAAACGAACAAACAAGCAAATCAAGCGTTTTCCCCATGGACTGAACATTCCAGAAAAACCAGAGAGCTGGGCTGGGTGGGTTCTAAGGTTGCTACCCTCGGAAAGTCAAATTTTGGTGCACCAGGTAAGTGCTCAGCTGCTTACCATAAGATTGGCAGCTGAGCCCACCCAGCAGCTAGGTGGGAGAAAGGACTGACAAATCTGTTCCCATAAGGACTTGTCATTAAGTGCCATTGAGTCAGTTCCAACTCACAGTGAGCCTGTCTAGGATTTCCAAGGAGCGGCTGGTGAGTTTGAACTGCAGACCTTGTGCCTCAAACCGACCTTGCAGTTGTCTAGTGCATTATTTCACAGC